TATAAATTCCACATACCCAAATGGTTAGAATGAATTTGTCTGCATGTGCTTAAGGTTAGTGGTAAGGAAATACAGATACTTACAACAGTTTGTTTACCGATTGTTCGAAGTTACAATGGCACAGAAAAAAGTAACTTAAGACTATTGTTCACCTTTATGACTGTTGCAGCATCCCCGGTGTCATGTGATTTACATCAGGATGTTTGAAAACTGGTTCATATGTATGATGGTTGCAGTGTCCAGCGGTCATGGGATCAGCTCTTGTGACCTCTGACAAGCCAAGTCAATGGAGAAGCCAGATTCACTTAACTGAGTTTAAGGCTGAGATAAGTTCTGATTACATATGTGGCTAAGCTTTATATGTGAAATAGCCTAAAATGAAGTTGTGCTACCTATCCAGGATGTAAAAGAGGAAAACATCTCTCCAGACTTGATGAAAACTGTTCCCGGCTGAAACAGTATTTTCGCCTTTATTTGATATTTTTCTACTTATCCCTTAACCTGTCTTAAAAATCTGTCACAGAGCTAAGACACAGACACGAGACATAGAATGTACAACTGTGACTTGAACATGAAAAAAAAAGAATAGAATACAGAACAGTTTGAGAGAAACAGAATATTTACTCATGTTAACATGTACATAAAATACTATGAATTTAAAACAAAACCAGCTGTGGAATTCTTATCAGGAGTATTGCACTTTTTAGAGCACACAGATTCACTTTGATTGAAGGGACAAAAAAGCCACTTGGTAACAAGTAAACAAACAGAAACAAAGCTGGTTTCTTCCGCTTAGGCTGGAGTGATCCTATTTGCTTCTCCTGGATGAAAAGAAAATAGCAGCAGAATCATTTGTGTCACTTTGCCTTATCAGGAATCGCTTTGCGTTATCAGGAACCGCAAGTGCATGTCCTTTAAAATAAGGTGTCAGATGAATACAGATACAATGCTATTACATGGAGACAGAAGAGAGAGAGAGTAACTTAATCAAAGGTTGTAATACAAATGTAGTAAGCTACTTTCCTTAGTGCTCATGGTTAGCACATGCTCAGATTAGAGTGCACATTGTACTATAGCTTCATTTATTATTTATTAAATTTATGTAGCCGCCCAACTCATACATACAGTAGCTGACTCTGGACGGCTTCAACATTTATCAAGATACTGTAGCATAATTCCCATTTTTTTGCTCCCTTACTAGACTTGGAGAACTAAAATCTTTAATATTTAGGTACAGCTGAATGATACAGGTCATATTGCATACACATTCAGTGAACAAAAGCCATCGATAAACACAGTGAGTAAATGAGAACGCATGTATATACATTTGCCACATGGCCCCACTTGGTGAGGAACCCAAGTAACCTTGCTTCCGGGTCTAATTATTTTCAACTTTTTAATAGTGTACAAGGGAAATAAGTGGCCATCACTGTTAAGCATTTTTTGGGAAAGGGAAGTCTGGATATTCCAACTGCTTTTGATTACAGATTAAGATAACACGAATCAAAATTTAAAATTTATATAGAACAGGGGTGTGTCAAACCCAATCGCATTGCAGGTCGTATCATGACATATCGGGATTTTTTTTTTCCCTTGCAGAGCTGGGTGGGCGTGGCCTGTGGGGTCCAGATTGGGCCCGTGGGCCTTGTGTTTGACATGCCTGCTCTAGAATGTTGAACATCAGATTTTTCAAAGCAGTGAAAAATCAGAAGATTGGAATTTGGATGTCTCAAGCAATCTTCTGAGCAGTGTCGAATTGTTACAACAGCTGGTACAACTATATTACCCAGTGCATATATATGCACCATGGATCATGCACTGTGGACACACTGTATATGGACAGTGTATAACATACTGTGTATAACTACATCCATGGTGCAAGATGTAATCCTAGTCCTGCTCCCCTTTCTGCAAACTTTCTTCACGTAGGATCTGAACTGAATGCTGGCACAATCCAGCAGTCCCCTGGATTCCCTTGCAGGGGGACTACAAGTAAAGGAAATAGCACAATTGAGCCACACTACTAAATTGCACTTGGGGCATCAGATCTCTTGTTCAGTCAGTTTTTACAACAGAATAAGAAAAATTTGTTGATCTGCCATAAACTTATTATTAGTGTATAAAGCCCATGGTGATTTGAAAATGAGAAGTTTGTTTATACTCACACGGCATCAGGCACTTTATTGTTAAGATGTTGCTTTTCTAAAAACAAAAGATTTGATCTAATGGAGAAGCTGCCAAATTAGAATGGGATTCTTGATGAGAGTTAATTGTGTTTCCCAGTGAACACTTCAATCTTCTAGGATAATGATATGCAAAGAAGAAATACTTTTAACTAAATACACAATTAACTTAGACTATGAAGTATCTGTAATGAGATACTAATTTTATATATATATGTGTGTGTGTGTGTCTGTGTGTGTGTGTTTTCGTAGATTTTCATGGGTACAGGTATGCAGGTCTTGGCATGTTTTTGGTCTTTTCCCGCGTAAGATTGAGAGCATCTTGGCAACGTTTCGACGAGGTCCCACTGTAGATGGCGAGTGGGACCTCGTCGAAACATTGCCAAGATGCTCTCAATCTTACACGGGAAAAGACCCGAA